GCCAGCAGCGCCACCGCCGCCATCGCTGTGACATCACCGCCGCCATCGCTGTGAACATCACCGCCGCCATTGCTGTGACGTCACCGCCGCCATTGCCGTGCGTCCGCACCGCCGCCATTACAGTGACGTCACCGCCGCCATTGCCGTGACGTCACGCCGCCATGGCTGCCGCCAGTCCCGCCCGAGGGTCCGCGGGTTCGAGGCTGCTCTCAGCCTGCCTGCAGTGCTCCCGACTTCTTTTTTCTCTTTTCTTCCCTCCCGGCGCTGTGTGTGCTGCTTAGAGTCATAGCATCACAGGGCTGGAAGAGATCTTTATGATCATTGGGTCCAACTGTTAACCTGTCACTGCTGGAACTGCTAAGCACTAAATCAGATCACCCAATGTCAGATCCAGATGCCTCTTAAATACCTCCAGGGATGGTGAATCCAATACCTCCCTAGGTAATATTCATAGAATTATCAGGGCTGGAAGAGATCTTTATGGTCATTGGGTCCAACTGTTAACCTGCCACTGCTGGAACTGCTAAGCACTAAACCAGATCACCCAATGTCAGATCCAGATGCCTCTTAAATACCTCCAGGGATGGTATCTCCACCACCTCCCTGGGTAATATTCATAGAATAATCAGGGCTGGAAGAGATCTTTGAGATCATTGGGTCCAACTGTTAACCTGTCACTGCTGGAACCGCTAAGCACTAAACCAGATCACCCAGTGCCAGGTCAAGATGACCCTTAAACACCTCCAGGGATGATGACTCCACCACCTCCTTGGGCAATATTTATAAAATCATCAAGGTTGGGAGAGACCTTAAGGTCATCGAGTCCAACCATCAAACACTGTAACCCCTAAACCCTAAACCATACCCTCCAGTGTCAGATCTAGATACCTCTGAAACACCTCCAAGGGTTGGTGATTCCAACACATCCCTGGGCGAATTTGTTCAAGTGTCTGAACACCCTAACAGGGAAAAACTTCTTTCTAATATCTCCTCTGACTCTGCCCTATCTCGGCTCAAGGCTATTCCCTCGAGTCCTCTCCCTGCAGCCATGGCAAGAGACACCATCCCTCACTTCTCTCCAGCCCCTGTCGGGGAGTTGTAGAGAGATAAGGTCACCCCTGAACCTCTTCTCCAGACAAAACAAACCCAAGTCCCTCAGCCTGTCCTCATAGGACATGTGTCCTAAACCTTTTCTGGCTCCCAAACCTGCACAGGAAGGCTGGATGCATCCTCTGGGACACAGGGCAGAGTCCAAGGGCCTCACAGCTGTGCCCTGGCCTGGATCATCCCTGCTGGAGGCATTTCAGGAGCTGGCAGGAGCTCAGCTGCTCTAGGTCACTGTCCCACTCTGCTCTCCTTGCAGCCAAAGGTGCTGCTTTTGTGTCATTTGTATAAAAACAATCAAGTACCTCATGCTCAGAGTATCTTGGGCTAAAGCCTGGGCTTAGACTTGTCACCTGGAGGAGTTTGTGCCCCAGGGAAGAAAAAGAAGAAAAAACTGAAAATGGTATTAATATTTAATGACAAAACATCCAACAAACACCTGTGTGGTTAGGTCAGCTCTCCTGAAATGTGCTGGAAGAAATGTGCTGCCTGCAGGATCTTGTCCATCCCTACTATGACTGGATCCATAAGCCACAGTGAGAGCATTTCAGTTTTCCACAAAGAATTAGATGCCAAAATCAACACAATCCTAAATGCTGTGAGACATAATTAGCCACTCCAGAGAAACCATCTGCTCCTCTCCCAGCAGGAGCCAAGGTATATCCTGCTGCTGCAGGTCCTGCTCCCGTGGGATGCAGCCAGGTATTCCCTGACAGCAGAAGCTCATCATGACTCGGTGTTGTTCTCTGTCACCTTTGCCAGGACATGAAGAGCTTTTGTCTCTGGAATAACAGGAGTGCCCCTGGTGTCTGGTAGAATAGATGTGCCTCTGCCTCAGAGTGATGTGCTCTCAGCTCTGATGGTGCCTTGTCATCTCTGCCTGTGCCTGGTGAAGGTGTTTAGAGAGATTATGTGATACTTGGGGATTTCTAGAGAACCTGAAGGTCTGTGAGGGGTTTTACTTGAGGTTAGCTCTGTGTTATGGAGTGTAAGGAAGGAAAATGGGTTAGGAGTTACTGGTGGATAGGCAGGAGGAGTTGTCATAAAATACTAGGGTCTGCTGTTCTGGGGCATGATGTTATTATCTTCAGCCTCATGACATGGCACTGCTACCTCTGCAGCTTGGGGCTGGCTGCCTGGGTAAGTTATGGAATCATGGAATATGCTGAGCTGGAAAGGACCCACAAGGATCACTGAAGTCCAACTCCTGGCCCTGCACAGAACAACCCCAAAGAATCCCACCATGTGCCTGAGAGGAAAGTCCATGCACTTCATGTCCCAGTGTCTAACATCAGCAGGAGCTGTCTCCATGACAGGCAGTGGATCCTCATCTCCCAGCTCCTCCACCAGAAGAGAAAACAAAGAGAAAAGTGATCCACACTGTTTCTGCCATCCTCAGCACAGACTTTCCCATGCCTCCCTACGTTACAGGTGTGTCCTCGCAGACAGTCTCTACCATGGAGGACTTGTGGCTGCTCTCTGCTTCTGGGCTGTCCTCAGAGGACTTCAGCTTCCTCCTGAAGTGAGAAATGACCCTCCTCAGGGAGGAGTACAGCTCCTTGCTCCTCAGGGCATAGATGATGGGGTTCACCATGGAGTTGAGCAGGCAGAGGGTGCTGCAGAAGGCAAACACCTTGCGCAGGTGATCGCTCAGCCTGACGAAGATGCTGTAGCTCATGAGGATGAGGATGGGAGACCAGCAGAGCACGAGGACAGCCAGCACCATGACCAGGGTCTTGGCCAGCATCACATCCATCCTCATCCTGGAATTTTGCTTTCCTCCCTGTGCTTGGTGTTTCTCCATGTAGGTCACGTGCTGGTGAGCCCTCCAGAGAACATGGGTATAGGCATAGACAATGCATCCCAGCAGGACCATGATGAAGCAGATCCAGCTGGACTGGTAGTTGTCATCCACAAAGGGGAACAGCTCAGAGCAGGTGGAATTGAGTGTGCAGCAGTTCCAGCCCAGGAGGGGCAGGGAAGCAATGGTGCCACAGGTCACCCAGAGCACTCCCAGGGCTATCCATGCTCTCTTCCTTGTCATCAGGAGCTTGTACTCAGAGGGACGACTGATGGAGATGTACCTGTCCAGGGCAGTCAGCAGCAGGCTGCTGAGGGAGGCAGAGAAGGAGGTGTTCACCCCTCCCAGCTGCAGCAGGAACACCTCCTTGGAGAAATCAGTTTGGTTGAACACATGGAAGCCAACGAAACTGCAGACAAAGGTGATGCTGGCCAGGATGTCAGCCAGGGCTAGGCTGCTGATGAAGAGGTAGGAAGGTTTTTTCCTGGTCCCAGGGGAAGAGAAGATCAAGTAGAGCACCAAAGAGTTCTCAAAAACACACAGTGTCCCAAAGAGGCAACAGAGTGTGGCAATGCTTATCTTCTGTGCCTGAGTGCTGAGCACCATGAAGCACTCCATGGTGTTCCCACTGCACTTGGAGGCGTTTTCAGGTATCTTACAAACATCCATGGTGGTTACCTGGAGCTAGGAGCTCACAGAGAGCCTTTCTGCTTCCTCCTGCACTTCTTCAGAGGCTCTGAAAAAGAAGAAGAGGACTTGAAGGAGCACAGCAAGCAATGAATTCAACTCAGGTACATCTCTCCCTTTAGAGGGAAGCAAGAGGAAAATAGCCCACAGAGATCTGCTTACAGCTCCACAGGCCAAATGCTGGAGACAAATTCCACCCTATCCAGGCAGGTAGAGATCCAGGCTTTGTTCCACTGCTGGTCTAGCTGAGACCCATCTATCACAGCCCATGGGCAGCACCTCTGTACCTCATCCATAGCCTGTACCAGTCTGTCTCCTGGGCTGGTTCCTCACCACAAGAGGGAAGCAGCAACGCTGAGAATTGTACAAACCCTGGGCTAGTTCTTACCAATCCTCCAGGATGCACTGCTCAGGGATACTGTGCTGTGGCTGGAGACAGGCCCTGCCCCAGTGGAGTTGCCCCAGGAGATGTCTTGGATGGAGAAGGATGAGGGATGTTGCACTGTTGGACACTTGGTGCAGCTCATCTGGAAACAAAGTGCTCTTTGAAGCTCTTTGAACACATGAAATGACAACTGGGTTTATACTGAAGCTTGTTCATGGCAGCTTTATAAAGCCCAGACTCATTGAAGTTGTGTTTCTCCTCCATCACCTCTGTGCCATGTCAGACAGTCCCACAGTTGGAGTGCTTAGAAGTTAGCACTAATATCAGAGTGCAGACTGGACATACAAATGGAGACATGCAGGAGTTACATTACCTGAGCCTAAGGACCTCTGTCTATGCCAGGATTAGGTTAATTTTATTGGTATTATTTAGAGATGGGATGGAGGGAAATGCTTGATTTTCCCCAGGGTGGATGCTGAGCTGCTCAATGCCCTTAGTGGCAGCACAGTTGGGTTTCTCCCCCCTTCTGCAGCTCGATGCACTTTCCCCCAGAACAAACAAGTCACTGTCTTTCCCTCCCTTGAGCTCTTACAAAAGAGGAAATGTCCAAAGCACAGGAGTCACCACTCAGGATGTGTGAGAGCCACAGCTCCCCAGGGAGCAGGGCCAGGCTGCTGGGCTGGGGGCTCCAGCCACCTGTAGTCCATCATCTGTGGCTTCTCTGCCTGGTTTGTGAAATTCAGCAAAGGCAAGAGCTGTTTGTAGAGGTGACAACAGCCAGAAGTGACCAACAAACCTCTGACTGCAACATCTTAGCAGTCATGTGTTTTCTACCTGCCTTTGTGACTTCCTTCCCCACTGATCTCCCCCAGCACTCCTCACTGCTTCTGTGTTCTGCAGGAGTTGCAAAACACCCCTGAGCACTTGAGGTGCAGCCCAAGGGATGAGCCCAAGCCTCACACTTTGCTCCTGCTGCCTGTCAGAGCTGGAACATTGGTGGCTGCAGGGTGGTTGGTGCATGTTATAGCCAGAGCAGATCAACCCTCATTTGGATTTCTTGGCATATGAGGCTGGAGGAGTCCTGGACTTTGGGCTGACATGTGGCTCAGTGTTGCAGCAAACTGCTCTCCTCTTACATCAGGCATTGGGGTAACCACATGGGACTGGGAATGTTGTACTGGAATCTCAGAGCTCTTGTTTCCTGCAGCTCTTCACACAGTTTAAATACCACCCTTTGTTATTTCCTGCTGCCTGTGTAGTGTTCCTGTGAAGAGCTGCAGGAATTACCAATGGCTGTTATTAAACCTGACAGCATCTCTCCCTCTAGAGACAGATGGATTTAGCAGACAGATGGACTTTTCATATCTTAGGGACCACCAGGGCAGCAACTGCCTCCTTGTGTATCCAAAGCAAGACATACCTTAATTAAGCAGACTCCAGCATCCCCTTGGCAACCATTACCTGCACCAAATATTCCCAGGACCATCTGAATCCTCAAATCTGCTGTTGTGCAATGGCCAGTGAACATCATTAGGAACCTGGAAACTGCACTGAACACTGGGCAAGAGACTGAAGGCAGCAAAATGCTATCCCTGATGTTATGTTGCTTGGGGAGATGATTTGGTTAAAATGGTAAAATAACTCCTGCTCTGCCTGTCCTGGTCCAGCTCCCTCCACTCAGCTGATGGAACTCAGACAAGCCTCAGGTTCAAAATGCTGTGCTCAGCCTGGACCTCCTCATATCTGTTCTGGCTCAGGTTGAATGACAAAGACTAATCTATTTACTCCTCCAAACTTTCCTTCCAGCTCCTGTGTCCCTGAGGCTCTGCTCCAGCACAGCATCTGTGCATCAGCATAGAAACACAGGCTGTGCCTGTCCCCCTGTTTTGGTTTATTTTGGCCCTAAAGCTGCTTTTCCCTGCCCAAAGGACATTTTTCTCTTGTCAGATGGGCTCCTGGATTTGTTTGCTCATGCCCTCTGCCTCCTGCATGCTTCAGTTCCTGGGAAACACCCAGCCTGTATCTGGTTCCTGGAGCAGAGCTGATCTGCAGCATCCTCCATGGGGCAAGTCCCACTTCCAGGGTGGAAATCTCCTTCCAGTGGGCAGCATCTCCACCTCCACGGGCATTCCAGCCCCAGACATGGCTGTGCATCTCCCCACAACCAGCCCAACACGCCCAGGGAGTCCCAGACTGACAGCAAGAAGAGCAAAGTGGCTTCTCGCCCTCCTTTAGCTCCAGCAGCTGTGGCACAGAGGGACTGGAAGTGCCAAGGAAGGAGCCAAGTGGGGATTTCCTAGGCTTTTGCACAGGATTAACCCTCCTGTGGTCACAGCACAGCAAGGTCTTTTAGATTGGGGGATATTCTGCCAAAATAAAGCATCCTGGCAATAGAGAACCCCCAGACAGTGCCAGCAGAGCCCCAGGAAACAACCCACTGAATGATCAAGGAGCTCAGTTATTAAGAACAAAACCCAGATAAAATACATGGGAATGCAATATATTCCTGATACAGCATCACTGACTGCAAACTCTCCCCAGAGCAGCAGAAAAACCTTCCCCTGCATTAGCTCTGCTGTGAGCCCACTCACTCCAGCCTGGTAACTCGTCTGGCTTGGGGGGAAATTCAATTTACAAGTGGAAAAAGTCCTTTTCCTTCTCAGTGCCTTGCTGAGACTGATCCCAGCTGTCGGACTGGCACTGCCTCGCACGCAGCAGCACAATTCCTGCTTCCACCTGGGATGGTTTCTGCCTTTGCAAAGACATCACAGCATCCTGCTGATTAATAAGTTACATACCAGTTGCTTAGATAATGTAAAATGAAATTTGCCTGCTGCAATCAGCCAGTGCATTGTGCCTGCAGCATCCTGAAAGCCTTAAATATTTCATGCTCAGAATTTCTGAGAGGTTTGAGCTTTATGAGAAAATAAAACGTCTTAAGTGATCAAGTAATATGAACATGTGCAGTGATTATTGCAAAGATTGTCATTCATGCCTGGACATTTCATTTGCTGAAGAAGCAAAGGACCTTTTGCTTTACAAATAGTTTAGTTTTTATGTGATCGCTTGTTTCAGTTGCAAAAGTTTTTCTCCATTATTTTGGGAATAGCTGTTCATCCTGGTTTGTCCCCTTGACCACAATAAACACTGGTGAGTGGAATTCCCTCCCTGGTGGAAGGACTGTCCAGCACAAGTGTCACACTGGAGATGATTTGCTGTGTTTCTGCCCATGTGTGGGTGCCTGGGGGGAAAGTGTTCAGAGCACAGGATGAGGTGGGTGCAAAGTAGAACAAAACAAAGCTGCTCTCACTCCACCCAAACCACCACACACAGAGTCACAATCAACACTGCACTCAGCATCACACTCAGCCCTGAGACAGTTGGAAATACCTCTGACATATAGAATCACAGGATGGTTTGGGTTGGAAGGACCTTAAAGATCACCTCTCTGCCATGGGCCACCTTCCAGTAGACCAGGTTGCTCAGAGTTCCATCCAACCTGGCTATGAACACTTCCAGGAATGGGTCAGCCACAGCTTCTCTGGGAAACCCATGCCAGTGGTTTCCTAACATCTAATCTAAACCTCCCCTCTGCCAGTTTGAAGCCATTCCACCTTGTTCCTGACCCAACATTAGCATTTGCACAGTTCAGACCCTGATATTGAAGCACTTACCTTTCATCTTCTCCTTAAGAAAGAATTCATCCTAAACCCCAATGTCCCCCTTTGTTCCACATTGCATTGCAGTGTATCCTGAAGAGCACTGGGAATCTCCATGCAGCAGAGTCTCCCCAGCTTGCCTCGAGCACAGCAGCTCTGTGAGCTCTCAGGGACAGTGTGTGCCAGTGTGAGAGAAAAAGGATCCTGGGCTGAGGGGCAGCAACACGAACCACTCACCTCCCTGTGGGTGCTCAGGGGCTTCCCATCCCTCTGGCTCTCAGGGCAGTGTGTGCAGCTGCAGATGTGTCTGCTTCCCTCTCCTCTCACAGCACTTCTGGTTTCATCTGGGTTTCTCATACCATTCTGGTTTATTCCCTTGGGTTGGAGATCCATCAGTGTGAATCCTTCCTCTGCTGCCTTGCTCTCTGTCACATTCTTTCTGTGAGTGTGTGTTGGGTTTTCTCTCCTTCCCCACTTCCCCTCTGGGTGTTGTGTTCTTCTGCTCGTGCCACATCTCACAATCACACCAACCCTCTGACTCGCTGAGAGAATCCTCCCAGTCCCTCTGATTCCTCCATGTACCTGCAGTGTTTGAGGCAAGAGACACTCAGGGGCTCTCCCTGATTTCTCTGGGGAAGGAGAAGAGGATGGGAGGGAAAAAAGCTCGGAGGCAGACATGGAAAAATCTGGATGTACTGTGTGCAGGGCTGAGGGTGAGCTCAGAAACCTGCTGTCTGTGCTTGCAGCCCCACTCAGAGCACAAACCCCACTCTGTGCCCCAAAAGTGGACAAGCCCCTTGTCTGTACACAAACATGCTCAGTTACACCAGAGGGATAAGGTGATTTTCTCTTTGCAAGTGGAAAGGAAAGGAAATGGCTCAAGGTCTTGAGTTACTCAATCATTCCCCTGTGGTCAGCAGGGACCCAGAGCTGCTGTG